AGCAAGACCCAGGAAAGTCTCCTAACACCCAGGAATCAGAAATAAGGGAGAGAAGACTCAGTGGAAATGAATAAGCTTCCAGAAAGCATGCATCAGTAGCAGGGATGGTGTGTAGGGGTCCCCAACACCGTCACTGGGTTCAAACTTGCCAGAACTCACCAGACAAGCCACAGGATTGCCCTCCGAGCTAAGGTTTATGGCAGTGGGAGCAGAGTCTGCTGGCTTCCCTGACTCGCCACCGAGAACATGCTAGCCCTCCAGCAACCATCATGCAGCAGGTGGTCCTGCCCAAGAGCTACCCCTCTGACAGCCATCCTGCGGCAAGATGGTCCTGCCCAAGGAAGCCCTCCAGTGCCCACCAGGGGGTTGCACTGGGTCTGAGCACATAGGGACCCTCCAGGAGCCCTAGTAGCATAGTGGGTACACATTGGGCTGCGATCCCCGTGGTCGGCAGTTGGAAACAGCTCCTCAGGAGAAAGACTGGGCTTTCTACTCCCAGCAACGGGCCACTGAGTCAGCATTGACTCAATGGCAGTGAGCTTGACCTGGCTTGTACCACAGTTCCACACTCGCAGAAGGAAAGCAGGGGTTCAGAAACACCACACTGTCTATATAAACAGTGAGCGCCCCCTTATCTTTTAGCCTCTGGCTGGGAACACCCTGAGAACCAACTCTAGACACCAGCCGAGGGCTTACCTTGCAAGCCGACCTTTCTGAGGATAGCATTCTCAGGCCTGCACAGAGGTGGATGAGCTCTGGTGGGATAGCAGGCGACAGACACACTGAACCGCTAACCCCCCAGTTGCTCCAGGGGAGAAAGACGAGGCTGGCTACTCCCAGAAACCCACAGAGGCAGCTGTACACTGTCCTATCAGGTCATGATGCATTGGAATCAATGACAGTGAGTTTTGAGTTTATGCCTCAAGCCTATCACCCCTTCCCCACCCTCCTTACAGATAGGGTTTGCGAGCACTCCATTCTACCTGTTAACTGCCTTTCAAAACGTCTCTTAACCTGAATGCATGGTGCACGGCCTCAGCCCCACCTTCAGCCAGCTTGGCCTGCATCTTGCAACCGAGGTGACTCTGTCACCTTTCCAGGCTGCACTGTAGAAGGACAGTGGAGAAGCCACGCTGCCCAGCCCAACAGTCTGGACATTTTCACAGGAGATGTTTGTCAAGGGCCTGGGAGGACCTGCAGGGCAAAACTTAACTCCTTAGAATTCTGCACTCTTCTTTTCCTCAGGGAAAGGCCAAGCGCCGGTCTTTGATGTGTTTGAAGCTTTTCTCAACACCGACAACATCCAGGTCTTTGCTAATGCTGCCACGAGTTACATCATGTGCCTCATGAAGTTTGTCAAAGGACTAGGTAAACAGGGTTTCCTTCCTCACCTCGTGACAGCCAGGGACTCTCTCCAGGTGGCTTTGTGTGGGAGGGAGGCCTTGAAGACAGGTGCAGTGGCTGCGCGGAGCACAGGCGTCCTGGGATGGGTGCAGGTGGCGCGGACCATGAACATTGAGTCCTCAGGGTCAGGAAGCTTACAGTGAGCATGGCTTGGGTGTTGTCCAGGGCGGACGGATCCTTCTCTTTGTGCTCATGGAAGAACCTGGTAGTGCGCTGTGCTCCACCGTGTGTGTACTTTCTTCTGATTCCTCTGAGAGTCCTGGCATGTTCACCACGGCCCAGTTACAAAAATAGCCTTGGCGTGAAGTTTTGGAGACTGTATTTTTGAATTTTCATCTTAGCATCACAGTATAGGAAAGACCTCTCTGTCCCATAATTAGTGGTCTGAGCTGAACTTGCCAACGTTCCAGGCTAAAAAAAAAAAGCCCTCTCCTGGGCCTTAAAGATCAGCCGTTCTCAACCTGTGGGCCGCGACCCTTTCACAGGGGTTGCCAATTCACAACAGTAGCACAATTACAGTGATGAAGTAGCAACGAAAATCATTTTACGGTTGTGGGGTCACCACCACATGAACTGTATGAAAGGGTGGCAGCATGAGGAAGGTTGAGAACCACTGTTACAGGTTGTAAGAGGAGCCCCTGGGTGCTGCAAACAGTGAAAGCTCTCAACAACTAACCACCAGGTTGGGAGTTCAAGCCCCACGGTAGGTGTCTCAGAAGACAGTCCTGGTGATCTGCTTCCAAAAGTTCACAACCTTGAACATCCGTTGGAGTAGTTCTAGTCTGCACACACGCTGTCCCCATGAGTTGGAACTGAATCATCAACCACTGATGACAGTGCCTTTCCTTCAAGGCAGCGTAGGGGAGGGGGCTTCACCAAGTTTGTGGGGAAATGGAATTGAAGGATGATGGCATTTTCCCCACAAACTTACGCCTTGGGCTGCAACCCCCAAAGTCAGCAGTTCGAAACCACAGCTTCTCCATGGGAGAAAGAGGGGGCTTTTTACTCCCATAAACAGTTCCAGTCTCAGAAACTCGAAGGGGGTGGGGCAATTCTCTCCTGTCCTCTCCAGTCGCTAGGAGTCGACAGTGAGTTTTGAACAGAACAAAGGGCCGCTAGGAACAGAAAGCAGTTAGTTGCACCAGAGGTTTAGAAAGAAACCCCCTTACCATGCTTTGAGGCCCGGAGCCCCAGAACCTTCTAAATAAAGAAAGGTGAAGAATGTTTTTGTTTTGTTTGTTTCGTAAAGAATGCAGTTTACTTAAAGGATCAATGAAAGCCATGCTGAACAACTGACAAGTCCTTTGCAAAAGAAAAACAAACCCTAGGACGCTGAAGGGCCTGGCTCTTGACCCACTCTTTGCAGAGCTGGCTGGTAAATTTCCAAGTTCAAAGTCCAGGAGAGAGCCTGGGGCCATAAACATTCCTGGGTCATTCTGCTATGGACTATGCTGTAGGCCCCCAAACTTACTTGGCCCACTGCTGCCTTTTCAGGGGGTGGGGGGGAAATGAGTGCAGCGTCCCTGGCAATTAAAGCCTTTTTGTACGGTAGCCCCTAATCCAGGATAAGGTGGAGCCCTGCTGGCATCGTGAGTTAGGCTGCTAACCACAAAGTGAGCAGGTTGAACTGCCAGCAGCAACTCACTGTAACAGTAGAACTGCCTCATAGCACTTCCTGGGAGGTAATCTCTCTGGGAGCAGCTGGCCGGGCCCTTCTCCCTCGGAACCTCTGAGTAGGTTTGAGCCTCCAACTTTCCGGTCAGAAGTCAAGCAAACCATTGTGTCATAGGGACTCTTTTTTTTTTTAAGCACTCTGATCTACATGAAATAAAAGTCCACTTCTGAATCAGAAGAGCACCATAGAGCGTGAAGGTTTGTATTTACTAGTAGGGGGAAAAGTCCACCCTAGAATTTCTTTGAGAACCCTTCTTATTTCTGAGGAGTTCTGCTGGTGCTGTCAAGATAAGTATTGGATTGCTAGCCACAGGTTTGCAGTTCCAAACCACCGGCTGCTCTGTGGGAGAAAGATGAGGCTCACTGCTCCCACAAAGACTTCCGGCCTTGGAAACCCTTCATAGGATGGTGATGATACGGAATTGACTCAAACGCATGTTCAAACAGTAGAACTGAAAAATGCACCGAAGACGGTGTGATGCACCAAGTCTAAAATAGTTGCACCAGTAAATAGTAATAGTTATTGCCAGTTCATGGTCTGCATCCTAAGAAATGTTGTGTTTGGGGTGTTTGTTTTTAAGGAGAAATATGCTTCTTTGTCTGCTTCTACATTTTAACTAATACTGTACCTAGTCATTGTGTCTGTTTCCCCACAGGAGGGGGTGCTCGCTCTACAATGGTAGACAATTAGAAACAGTGAGAGGGCCCTGGAAAGCTTGTTACAAGCTTTTTTCAGGAGAAGAGAGATTCTAATTCTCCACTACTGTTTACCTATGGAAAATCTAAATGCCCCTCACGTGCAAAAAATAGAAACCACTCAAGTTCCATTAAGCAGGCTCCATCCCCAAACCCCGGATGTTTGGAGCCCCCCCCACCCCGCAGCCCCCCAGTCCCAATTTATCATCCCCAGTTAGAGCCCATGAGGTTTGGAGCCAGTGCGGCACTGCGGTCTGGGGTCCACTCTGCCGTCAGAGCTGCAGGCGTCCCACTCCCCCAGGAGCTGCGCAGAGAAGGAAAATGCATGTGCGGCACCTAAAGGACCTATCCAGCGACTTAGTGCAGTAATAGGATGTAGGGAAATGCACATGTTATGTCTGCTCTTCAGTGAATAGGGGAGTTAACAAACAGTAGTGTAAAGTGTCTTTGATCTTAACTCAGCTATCATAAACCCTGGTGTCACTGGTTCAAACCCACCAGCTACTCCTCAGGAGAAAGATGAGGCTGGCTGCTCCCCTTAAGGTTTGCTGCCTCGGCAGGCCGATCTAGGGTTGCTATGACATGGAGTTGACTGGCTACAGGAGGGTTGGACACAGGAGGACAGGACCAGAGAGTGATCTCCCATGACACAGATGATGACTAATGTCCCAGATGAAAAACCCCACTTCAACCATAAGACCCAGAAATGGAAATAGAGGCCTTTGTTACTCACAGGTCTTGGGGGCACACTATATGCTGGGAGGGGGGGAGGGGGGAGGGGGGAGTTGGAGGGTGTTGTGAGAATAAGGATGAGCCCAAGCATGGCCTTTATTAGGGCCTGAGGGGAGGATTACTCGTCCTTTTGAAACTAGAGCAGAGTCGGGAGTAGCTGGTAATGTCATTACAAGAATGCACAGTTTAATAAAAGTAATATAATAAATAACAATAACCCCCAAAGAATTTAACATCTATACTTGTAGGGGTGGAAAGCATACCTGTAAGGATACGCCCTAAATTGCTACTTCCTGGGGGTTGTGGAATTGGGGTTCTATTTTAGTAAATATTCAGAGAGCCAATACTGAGGGACTGAATTAAGAATGGAGTTCCAGGTGGGTAATTTTGTCCGTCTCTGCCCCTAGGTGAGGTGGACTGCAAGGAGATTGGAGACTGTGTTCCGGGGCCAGGAGCAGCCTCCACCGACCTGTGCCTGCCGGCCCTGGATTACCTCCGGCGCTGTTCTCAGGTAGGACAGTGCTTCCTGTGGTCTCCGGGGAGGTCTGGGTTTCGATTTAAAGTGTAAATTCTCCTCCCCAGAGGAGCGGAAGAGTAATAAAAATATCCTGGGACACACAATTGGACCCCCAGGCCTCTGAAAGCTCTTGGAATGTAAACTTGGAATGTACCAGAAAAGGGAAAGCAGGGCTATAAACAGGCGGAGAAGGATCTAAAAGAAGCCGGCGGGGCGAGTTCCATCACATTCTAGTCAAAAGGAGTCAGTAAACCAGCACTTATCCAAGGAGTGCAGAGCAGGCCTGCTGGGGGTGGGGGTGGGATTCCCTCTCACCTTTGACATAGGTGGGTTCAAGTCCCAAGCGACTGACCCAGTGGAGGCTTGTGTGTGGCTGTCAGGCAGAACAGGTTTGTGCAGAGCTTCCAGACTAAGACTAGGAAGAAAGGCCTGGCTCTCTCTTTCTGAAAATCAGCCTGTGAAGAACTCTATGGATCCCACGGCTCGAATCCAGTTGTCATCCAAGGGTCAGTCTGCATGAGTCAGGGTGACACAGCAGCAGGGGACATCCTCACCGAAGTGAACAGTGACCATCGCTGGGCTGACTCCAGTCATTCAATGCTGGGCAAGCAAAAGAATCCTCCCTTGGGAGGGGTTGCCCTCCCCTTCCAGGCTCCTGTGGAGCCCCTCTCTCCTGGTTTCCCCAGGCTGTGCCCCTTCTTGTCTCCATCTACTATAGCAGATTAGGTGCCCAAACTTGTTCAGCCTGCAGCCCCCTTTTCTGCAAAAAAGTTACTTGGAGCCACCCCCCACACCCAAGAAATTCAAAAGAAGGAAAAATGGAAAAAATGTAGTCCAGCCCATTTTTTTCCAGCCTTCCACTAGGGAGTAGTAAATGCCCACTTTGGGAAACTGCTTTAAAGCCTCCTGGGAAGAAAGACAGGACTCCCTACCCCGGAAAAGAGTTACTTTCTCAGAAACTCACAGGGGCAGCTCTATCCTGACCTATAGGGTCGCTATGCATCAGTATTATCTAGATGGTGGTGGGGTAAGTTGGGTTGGGTTAGGTTAGGTTTGATTTGGGCCCCCAGTTACTCCCCTCCTCCCACCTGCTCACTCTGCCCCCCAACTACACTAAGCCATGACCACTGGGGGCCTCTGCTGGCCCCTCTGCCTGCACATGCTCTTTCCTCCGATCTTGGTGTGTCACTTTGATAGAGACTCAGAGCTAAAGGATCTACCAGCTGCCTACTGACTGCACCTTGGCTGTCCCCCCAGCCCCCACCCCCACAGTGACTCTTTCTTATAACATGTCAGAAATTGTTATTTGTGAGAGGTTTATCATCTGTCTGCCCCACACAGAGAGGAACTTGGTCCATCCTGCTGCCCACCCCCCCTACCCTGGTTTCCAGAACAGGGTGAGCTGGGCAGGCACAGTCCACCGGAGTTTGTCCCAGCATAAATTGGGATTCCCTGGGGGATTGGGCTCTAGCATTGAGAACCCAGGTTGCCTCCCCTCCAGCATGGTCCCCAGCCTGCAGACGCCTCGGTCTCCCTGCTGGCCCTCAGTCCGGTATCTCCTTTGCCGCAGACTCCCTTCGCTATGGGCCCCCTAGGACAGTTTGTCCCAAAGGCAAAGATTCTTGGCACGTTTCGCAGCTCCCTTGGGAGGTTTACAAAAGTCTGTAAAGCTCAAATGTAATTAGAAGACCAAACAATCTCATTTTTACAATACTCTTTTATTTTCTTGGTTGCCATTGAAAATGATTTCATCTACTTCAAGAAGCCAAGGTCTCTTGTGAACAACCTCTTGAATCTAAACCGCAGACCATCAAATGTAACTTTTTCATGGGGCTGGTCTCCTACCTCCCTTCCATGATAGATCATCTCATTGTCCTTGACCATGCACCACACGGCAGCTTTTCAAAGTACATAATCATGGTGTGGTGTTTTTGTTTTGTTTTTAGTTATTGGCCAAAATCTACAAAATGCCCTTGAAGCCAATCTTTCTGAGCGGGCGGCTTGCCAGCCTGCCTCGCAGACTTCAGGAACAGTCAGCGAGCAGCGAGGATGGGATTGAGTCGGTTCTGTCCGATTTTGATGACGATACTGGTAAGAACATTGCCTGGACTAAGCCAGGTTGTTTGCTTTGTCCAACTGGCCAGAAGCTTAGTCCAGGAGGTAAGCAGCTATGTCATAGGAATGATCATTGCTTTTATTGTGCTCATTAGCCTGTCAGTCGATTATTACATCCACCTAAGGTTTCCACAGTGCCCCCCAAAAACCCATGACTTTGCAGTTGAAGCCTCCCCAAAACCCATCCATGGTTTGACCTGGGTGCCCCCATCTAAGACCAGTGCAGATTTGCAGGTCCCATTAGCTGCCGCTTCTCACCCTGAATTCTAATGAACTTAGCAGTTTGGAATACCATCCTTAAACTGGCTGCTAATTGTCGTCAATACCTTTTAGAAAACACAATCATTTTTATAATGACTTCCTCAAGACTAATTGGTTAGAGACTGGGGAACTTAAGCCATTGTGGAGAAGAGAATCCATTCGTGACTGGTGAAGCCGAAGGCTCATTGAAAGGATAGTTTAAGGAATTTGTTTCAAATGGGGTCTCACGTCCCCTCCTCTGAATTCGAGTTCAAGCGAGTAGCTCTGGTTTCACTGCTGACCGTTTTCCGATGGTTTCCGATGGCCTTCTCTCTCAGCCCAGGCCTGTTCTAGGTGGAGAAAAGAAAATGGGGGGCGAAAGGGGCGGAGTTTCTGAACTCGGCTGGTTTCAAAGGCTTAAAAAGATGGGGGCTGAGAGGGGGTTTCTCATTTTACTGTCGCAAATTCATTTGTGGGGGCGGCAGGAAGATTTAGAATTTCAAATGGCAGATGGCTTGGCACAGTGGCTGTGCCCGTGGGCTCGAGTATAAGAACGAAGGTGAGGATGGCGCAGACCAGGCGGAATCGGGGTGCGGTGAGTCAGAGCCAACTCTACGGCAGTGGTCGGAGTTCCTGTTTAAGGAACACCTCGCCAGCTCAGACCGATTGTGAGGACGCACGTTAGGAACATGGTGCAGAGACGGTTCTGAAGTATTGAAGCTGGCTAACCGTGGCAGCAATCGAGGTTTCGTCCTAGTGACTGGATACACACCACTTTTTCTCTTTGCATCAAAACCTCCAGCTCAAGCAGTGACGGCAGGTGTCGTGTTGGCTATGTAAGGTACTTCTTCAGAAGAGCTGTCAACGGTGAGTTGACGTGAGCTTTCGCTTTTCCACCTTGCACCGGCCATCGGTCCATCCTTCTTCCCCGGGAAGCCATCTTCTTGTGAGGGGCATTCAAGCGGGCATCTGCACATCATTCGCCCACATCATGGATTCAGCCTCGGCTTTAAAGTGGTGCCACAGAGCTGGGTCATAGAAAGGCTCCAAGTAAAAGCTGTACATTATTGTTTTAATGATTTACTGACATTCTCTGGTGCTCGGTGGCAAAGAATCCCGTTTTTTCCCCTCTGGGAATTCCAAACACAGGCAAAAGTCGACAGCACGAGATCACGAACCAGCTGTATGTACCCATCCACCAAGCGTACCGGTCACCTAGAGCTCCCTCCGCCGGCACACCGTCTCCTTTTCCTTATTAAAGGAGAGGCTAGACAGCATAGCTTTTTCATCTGTAAATGTACTTTCAAAGATAAGCACAGTGCCGCTATAGCAGTACCATTCACTGGGACGCACAGAGCGTCGTTATGTGTCGGGCTGTGGACTGCAAGGTCCACAGTTGGAAGCCAGCAGCCTCTCCTTGGGAGACACACAGAGCTTTCTGCTCCCATAAGGAGTTGAGTCTCGGAAACCCACAGGGGCAGTGCTGCCCTGTCGTAAAGGGTCACTTTGAGCCAGCATCGACTTGATGGCAGCGAGTCTGGGAGTTTGGGATATCTATTTTAAGGATTACCAGGAAGGGAACCATACTTTATGGCTGGTTGATGTGTCCACTGCCCCTTTCTTCCTTTCTTTATAAAGTGTGTGAGCCTTGGTCTTATGGAGTTTTCCATCTGAATTTTATTGCTCGCATCCTATCTTTCTCAATCTTCTGCACTTACTATTAATGAGCTCCCCATACCTGCTCATGGGCTTTGGTTTTGCCTACTTGTGATTGGAATATATGATTTTTTAATTGTGGTAGTTGTATGATTTTTAGTGAGGATATATATATTTTTAATCACTTTTTTGGGGACTTGTACAGCTCTTAACACAATCCATGCACCCATTGTGTCAAGCACATTTGTACTTATGTTGCCATCATCATTTTCAAAACATTTTCTTTCTACTTGAGCCCTTGGTATCAGCTCATTTTTTCCCTCCCTCCCTTAGGAACCCTTGATAATTTATAAATTGTTTTTTCATGTCTTACACTGATTGATGTCTCCCTTCACCAACTTTTCTGTTGTCCGTGCCCTCTTTCTCTCCCCACCTTACCCTTATTGGTCCTGAGGGGTTTATCTGCTCTGGATTCCCTGTGTTGCAAGCTCTTATCTGTACCAGTGTACATTCTCTGGTCTAGCTGGATTTGTAAGGTAGAATTGGGGTCAGGATAGTGCGGGGAGAGAGGAAGGAAGCATTAAGGAACTAGAGGAAAGTTGTATGTTTCATCAGTACTATGCTGCACCCTGACTGGCTCATCTCTTCCTTGTGACCCCTGAAAGGGGATGTCCAACTGTACACAGATGGGCTTGGGTTGGCACTCAGCCCACCCCCTCATTCACAATGATATGATTTTTTTTGTTGTGGGTCTTTGATGCCTGATCCGATTGACACTTCATGATCACACAGGCTGGTGTGCTTCTTCCATGTGGACCTTGTTGCTTCTGAACTAGATGGCTGCTTGTTAACCTTCAAGTCTTTAAGATCCCAGATGCTATATCTTTTGATAGCCGGGCACCATTAACTTTCTTCACATTTGCTTATGCACTTAGTGGGGATATTTTAAAACCTTGCTGCCACCTTCTAACATGATCACCTTCTGCAGGAAAGTTGAAAGTGAAGGACTAAAAGTTGGAGGGGTGATTTTGCACTTGACTCCAGGTCTTTTTTATCTGACGCCAAAGAAACAGTCCTTTCTTGACATCAGCTGTTTTGAGCTCTTGATTCATATACTTCAAAGGCAGGACTGAGCAAAAATCTTGGCCCAGCACTCAAGTGCATGACAAAACTTGGAGGGGGGCATGCTTTTCTTCTCACTCTGTAATAAAAATAAATAAAAACAAACTCACTGCCATCAAGTCTACTTCAACTTGAAGCAACCCTATAGGATAGGGTAGAACTAACTACCCCCCATGTAGGTTTCTGAAACTAATTCTTTATGGGAGTAGAAAGCCTCATCTTTCTCCCATGGAGCAGCTGGTGGGTTTGAACTGCAGACCCTGAGGTTAGCAGCCCAGTGTGTCACCTTGACACCACCAGGGCTCCTCATACATGAGGTTATCTTACATTAAAAAGAATGAAGCTCCCAGGGGAGGAGAGAGAGGTGTCCTGAGAGATGTGTTGCTTTGGGAAAACAAGCCCTTTGGTGCTATGAACAGCATTTTCCCACGTGTGAGCAATAGACACGCAAGATTGAGACGGTGCCGTCGTTGCAAACTGAAAGTTGAATAGCTTCGTTAAGAGTGATGTGGAGAGGGCAGCAAACAGCCTTCATGTACAGCTGCCTCCTATACTCCGACCAGAACGGGATGGTGCCTGGCTACCATTATTAGACACCGATCACCTACCCTACACAAGAATCCTCTCCAAAAGAGAGAACACGAGGAGCAGGATTTCCAATTTCCACGGACTCCAGACTTTCTGAAGCCAGTGAGGCTAAAAGAAACCCTGAACCTGTTGTCCTCAGATCGCTTTTCAACATTAAACCAAAAACATCCCCTGAAGTACGCTTCCAACCAAACTCCTAACTAGTCAATGTCTACCATGAACATTGTGCTCCTCTCAAGAACTCTGCGGGGCCAAAGTGACAGCAGACAAGATGAGACGCTTGTGGAGCGCCAAACTTGTTAATAGAGGAAGCATGGAGTAAAGGTCCCTGAATTGCGTGTGTAGAAACTGACTTTCTGTATGTTCCACAATTACATGTAAAACCATGAAAATTATGTATTGTGAAAAAAAATCAGTTAGAAATGCATGCCAAGCCTTTGGAAAAATGAGACTATAATGGGGTATTTTGTTATATTTTAATATTTTATCATCAGCTCCCCAAAAATCTTTCCGTTCAGAATAGAAGTAGTAACATACTAGAGCACCATCTTTTCCCTTGCCTTTGACAGAGCAGGTAAGTCACGATCTGCCCATGTGGTGGGCCCTCAGTGATCCCTTACCAGGTGATGGATGTCTCGCAGCCTTACAGCTCTTGACTGCATGTACACCCGTCACATGTGCTGCTGAACTGATGTTGCAGTGACCCTTCAGTAGGCAGTGGATCTCACAGAGGCTGTTTGGGGGATTCCAGGTCTGATCGAAGTCTGGATCATCCTACTGGAGCAGTTAACAGCAGCTGTGTCTAATTGTCCACGTCAGCACCAGCCACCAACCTTGGACCTACTCTTTGAGCTGTTGAGAGATGTTACCAAAGTACCTGGTAAATATTCTGATGTCTTCTGGTGAATTGTTTTTAGTGTAATGCCTGGGCCGGTATTTATTCACCTGTTTCGCTACTATAACCCTCAGTTTAGCACAGGGTCTCACATACCATAGACACGCGATGAACATGTGTTGACTGGCCACAAAGCAGTGAGGTTTGAGATATGTCTAGTATATTGTTTGTATGTCTTCCTTCCTGTGCAGTTAGTTTGTGCCCAGGCTGAGGTGCCCACGCCTGCATAAACCAATGGGTTTGGCTCTGTTCTGTGAGGGTAGTCTTCCCCCACATAGCCGGATCTCTCTGTCACACAGATGTGTGTAGGGCTTGCCACATCTACCACTGAAATAAATGACTCAAAAGTGTATAAAACCTTTGATAATCACCTAGTACAACCCCAAGTAGTTCTAGAAAAAAAATTGCAATTCAGAATGCATTTCTTATCCTGGATTAAGTGTGCTCCGCTCTGCAGTCCATTCCCCTAAGTTCAAGGAGAGGTTTTAATGTGTACCAACAGTATCAGAACCCCAATAATGCCGTGGGCCATTCCCCCACATAGTGAAGAGTCATGGTAAACTCTTGAAGAAATTAGAAGTGACGCATTAAAATAAGGACGCTGGAGACTTGGAGTCTTTTCTCTACATCAGCTACTTGATGTCACTCTTTTTTTCCCCTCAAAAAGCCACTCTAGCTACTCCTGCAACTTAAAGCTCTTTCCATCTAATACTAATTCTCATCCTCTCCTTGTACACTTTCTACCACTGGCTCTGTACCAAGAGCATGTAATAATTCTCCCCTTAGGAGTTTATCTTCTAAGGTAATTAGTTAACTGTAATGCAGACAAAAATGCATCTCTAAGGATAGGCATCAACAACTTCTGGATTAAAAAAAAAAAGTAAAGCAAATTATGTTCAAATCATGTAAGTATTATTCAGGCATTACATTTAATCGTTTTGAAAAACAACGACATGAATAATTGTTTACAAAGCAGATGTGTGTGTATATAGCATGATCTCAACTTTAAGAAAACATCTGGACTTGTGCACACCCCAGAAGGAAACACGCATACATTAAAAGGTGACTTTCTGTAGATTATGGGCGAGCATGTTTTGATAATTGACATCTTTAATGCCCATCAGTAAAGGGACGACATGAAGTTACATTTAATTGGATTATGTGTGGCAGTAATTCGCTGATCACCTTACAAATTAGAGGGGGAAGCCTTCAAGATCACTCGAAATACAATTATTCAAAGCTTGTTCTTAATATATACATACCCGTGTTTTCATACAATGCAGTCTTGACATCTAGGAGCTAGGAACTGATCAAGTGACTTTTGCCTTGATTGGAATTCTTCACAAGTGTGTATTCTCCAATCAGTGGTAGATTCTTTTTCCCTGATCCCCTTTCGTTGCAAGATGCCAATGCTGGTGCTGACTTTGTTTCTCCAGGGCCAGGCTTCGGGATCTACGCGGTCGTGCACCTCCTCCTCCCTGTGATGGCCCTCTGGCTCCAGCGCAGCCACAAAGACCACTCTTACTGGGATGCGGCCTCGGCGAACTTCAAGCACGCCATTGGTCTGTCCTGTGAGCTGGTGGTAGAGCACATCCAAAGCTTCATACACTCAGGTAGGTACCCGTTGTGCCAGAGCAGTTTCTTCTGGGTATTTTTTTGGCAGCATCCATGCCGAAACATGTCCTCAGTAAATACCCACCAGCACACGGTTTTCCTCCCTAGGAGAGATTATGATAGCACTGTGTGGTCAATGCAACCTGCTGGCAGTACATCTTCAAAAAGAAACCAGATGCCTATATGTCCTCTACAAAAGAACCAAACAGAATAGTCAAAGTATATACGTAACCAGAAATAAACTATGTAAGAAGCAGATTTAAGGTAGCGTACATTAGGTGGCCCTGGTGTTGTACTGCTAAACACAAGCTCAAAGCCACCAGCTGCACCATAGGCAAAGGATGAGGCACTCTGCTGCTGTAAAGACTTAAAGGCAAGAATTAACTCAATGGCAGTGAGTTTTGGTGCATTAGGAGGGAGGCTAGTTCAAGTATATGATAAGATCCCTCTCGGTTGGGAACTATAGGGCTGTATCCTGCTTTCTCTGGGGAAGTTAGATGGAAGAGGATTTTAGAAAAGATATCCATTATGGCCAAGGAATTGCCTAAGAGAGTAGGAAATAAAATGAAGATTCTTAATATTTGTGGCACTCTCAGGAAGATGTGAAAGTTTGAGGTGATCAGGGGAGAAACATTTGTGAAACGCTGATTCTTGCTCATGACATGCCATGAGGCGATCCAGACGCTTTGAAGCAGAGCAAACAGCACTGGGAACCACACACTCACTGCAACCACCAGGACAGAGTATCAGGTAGACAGCCAGCTCATCTTTCTCCAGCAGCGCAGCTGAGTTTCCAACTGCTGGCCTCCACATTAGCCGCACGTAACCCACCTCACCACCCGAGAGACTGAGCCACCGAGGTTGTAAATAACAGGGAGGGTACATGGTCACTGAAGGGAGAGTGAGTGCAAGACTGGTCCTTGTTGGAGTGTTTAGAGAAGCAAACAAGAACATTCAAACACACGCACTCCCAAGGGAGAGTCACAAAGATAGTGAATGCAGCAGAGACGTGCTTCCCTAAGAACAGATTGTACTGCAAAGAGCGTCCTTGAGAAAGAAAACCAGCAAGCGCTTGTGTCCACGTACCCTGAGGGTAACGTTCTCATCCGGGTCATTGCTTGGGATCCTAGAGGGTGGTTCTGCGGCCTCGCATTTGGGGGAAACAGTGCAGCTGTGTCCCTTGAATTAGGCCAACAATTGAGCCCAATTCTTTATTAGGGGATTTGAGTCCTATTGATGAGGTTCAAGAAATGTCACAGGCAGAAGCAGAATTAAATGCTTTTTGAAAAACAGCCACCAGTCCCAAGGGCTCAAATAGAAAGTAAATGTTTAGAAAATGATGATGGCAACATATGTACAAATAGGCTTGATGCAATTGATGTATGGAATGCCATGAGAGCTGTCAGAGCCCCCAGTAAAATGATCTTTAAAAAAGCCACCAGAAGCCTAAGAGGGCTTCAAAAAGTTTGTGGAAATAATCTGTTGATTCAATTTATCCATGAACTTTAGGAAGCTCCCCGCCTTCCCTTGTAATAAACATATACATTTTTAGAATTTCAACTTTCTACTAGAATATGTTCGATTCTGCTTAAGTAGACAAATTATATACTTTGAAACATGTACATCAACATACCTGTATACCACAGATGTCCCCTTGGTGTATATCAAGGAATGGGTGTCACCAGCAGAAATTGGATAAAAATCCAAGAAAAGACCAGTCATAGCAGAAGATCCACCAGAAAGCCAGCCTTTAGTGGGATGTCCACTATTAGCCCAGAGCCAATGTAAGGTTCAGCGTTACATTTGTCCAGACCTTTTGGACTAGTTAAGGGCCCTTTGGACTTCTCTTCCAAAGTATCTCCCTTTAATAGACTCTTTTTTTTCTGTTCAAACTTTGAGCTGTTTTGTTGGTATCACTCTTTCCCCCATTGTTGCTTTGTAGAAGGTCTTTTTTCTTATTGCTAGACTTTTTGCAGTAGATGGGCAGCCGTTTCACCCTTGGTTTTCCTCTCGCTGTAGACATCCGGTACGAGAGTATGATCCACACCATGCTGAAGGACCTCTTTGACTTACTCGTTGCCTGTGTGGCCAAGCCCACAGAAACCATCTCGAGAGTGGGCTGCTCCTGTATTAGGTGAGAGAAAGGTTCCTTGGCCCTCCGCAGAAGTGGACTTTCATTATGAAATCCAAGGAGATGAATTCAGTGCTCGTGGGCACAGTGTTCATCTACTAAGCAAAAAATCAGTGTTTCGAACCTACCAGCTCGTCACTGAAGAAAGGTGACAGCCGTGGAAACCCTTTGGGGCAGTGGTGGGTGGATACGAGTCGGAACTGACTCACAGTAGTTGGTCTTGTAAGTAAAAGTGCCTCGGTTCTAAGAACTCTTCAGTGTTATCAGCAACCACTGTGTAAGGCCTTGTAGACAGTGATGTCAACCGAGGCTCCTGGGTGCTCACCTTCTGTTCAGAAGGATGTTACAGAGAAAGTCGCTTGGAAAGCCATGGTGGTAAGACAAATGCCACAAAAGCCAAGGAGGCCTGGGCCTCGGAAGGTCAGGACAGGAGGAAGCGACAGCTGGTCAGATCCCCGGGAATGGGTATGATGGGGGTTGGCTTTCCGAGCAGGAGAACGGTGTCAACCGATGCATGGAGGTAGGAAACACAGGTGACAACGTTTGGCTTTCTTGTTGCTGTTATACTGCTGTTATACTTGGGGTTAGCAGGAAAGCCGATCGAGAACAAGTAGTCTCTCACTTGTAGCACAGCCATTAACAGTTTTTATATCGCAAGGGCTGAGTAATGAGAGACTGAGAGTGCCTCTGGGCCTGAGGCCCCCAGGTGGGAGTGAGCCTGCCCTCTCTGCTTGTGTTGCTGGGCAGGTACGTCCTGGTGACGGCGGGACCAGTGTTCACGGAGGAAATGTGGAGACTTGCGTGCTGTGCCCTGCAGGAGGCCTTCTCAGCCACCCTCAAGCCAGTGAAGGTAAATTGCAGTGGAGAGAGAGCCAGAGTGGGTCCTAATCTTCCTCATAGGCTCCCTGCCTTGTAAAGGGGGCACCTGGATTCTGCCTTCCTACTTAAAGCAGGCAGGGGTTGAAGAAGGTGCTGCTGAGGTTAGTCCTTCCATCCGACCCAACACGATCAACTGAGTAGAGCCCAGGGAGGGTCTGGGGCCACGGACCTGCGTGCCCCGCCCCGCTGAGCCTCTGCTGTGTTTCTCCCCAGGACCTGCTGGGCTGTTTCCACAGCGGCACGGAGAGCTTCAGTGGGGAAGGCTGCCAGGTGCGGGTGGCGGCCCCCTCCTCCTCCCCCAGTGCCGAGGCAGAGTACTGGCGCATCCGAGCCATGGCTCAGCAGGTAAGGCTGGGGTTCCGGAAGCTGACCTGCCTTTTGTGAATCTTTCCCAAAGGCCTCTCTTACATCACTAAACAGCCTTTTATTCCCTTAAGGACGTGTGCTTCCCAGCTCTGAGCTGTTCTTGCCAGAAACTCACCAGGAAGACTTTAACCCACCCAATCCACTGCCCCCTTTTCTCCACCACTCTTGCTTGGGTGAGACTCCCAAGCGCCCAGACCAGATCCTTTGTCGGACTTTTCCTCTATGCGTTTACGTGATTGCTTTCTGTGCTTTCATTGTTGTGTAATTGCAGGTGTTGCTATGAGAGTATCTGGTACCTCCGGACAACAAGTTATAGGACAGTCTAGAGTGGCTGTGAATCTTTACAAGTGCAGAAAACCTCATCTTTCACCCATGAAGCAGCTGGTGGTTTTGAACTGCTGACCTTGCAGTTAGCTGTCCAATACCTTAGGCACCTGGTGCATAACAAAGCTCCTCTTTACTTACTCTTAAACTTTGGTTCTTGCCATTTGGATTGTCACGAATTGTCTTGTGACAGAGGCAGTAGTGCTGTTAGTATCAGCAGCTAATGTGGAAGAGGTATATATTTCCCTTTTCTAAGGCTTCACATATATCGTCTGAGGGGGCTTCAAAAATTTATGAGAAAATCCCATTGTCTCTTTATTTAACTCTCAACAAGCTTTCCGGGAAAGAAGCCATCCGTCACCCTGCTGTATAAGTGAGGAACCTCTTCAAGAGTGTGCTGTTTGCCCAAGGCCACCCAGCTCACCCAGGCGGAGCGAGCTCACAGGGAGTTCTGAACTGTACCCTTGTGTGTCCGTGCAGGTGTTTATGCTGGACACCCAGTGCTCACCGAAGACGCCAAACAACTTCGATCATGCCCAGTCCTGCCAGCTCATTATTGAGCTTCCTCCTGAGGAGAAGCCAAATGGACACACCAAGAAAAGGTGAGCTGAGTCACGGGAGGAGCAGAGGAGTGAGGAAGACAGTGATTCCCAGTGTTTCCGCGTTGTAACCTAGCCTCAGGCCAAAACACAGGTGTGGTAGGGCTTAGCAATGATGTGCACACACACCCCAAAAAAAGTTTACATTTTACATATTGTCCTGTGAGGCTGACATTTGGGTTCATTCTGTGAGAAATATTTAAAGTGCTCCAAGAACAATACAGCTGTCAGGAAACCAAGATCAAGGTGCTGCCACAAGAAACTTTTACTTTTTAAATTCAGAGAAGCGTATAAAAGAAAAACTCTTAAGGCTATACACCCTATCAAAGGAAGAAACTCAGGAGATCTTGGAAAATAAGACAGTCTGGTTCTGGCTCTGCTTTCACTCTTCTATGGGGGGGGGGGGAAATGTTGTAGAGTTGAACATGGAATGGCATAACTCCCAATTTGCAACCCCTGACATAAAGAGTGGTTACATATATTTCAGCATTATACATGAAATACCAGGGGTAGATCTTATTTCATCCACAAGGAATCATTCAGGAGCTAGAAACACATACCATGACATGTTGGTCCAGTTGTCATACTGTGGTAGCTGTGTGTTGCTGGCAACTATGCCACCAGGATTCCAAATACGAGCAGGGTCACCCACAGTGGATAGACTTCATGGAAGAAGGAATAAGCTGTCTACCACTTCTGAGAGAGTAGCCACTGCAAACCTTAGGAATAGCAACATAATGTGCTATTTATGGATAAGGCTTTCAGGACCCTCATTTGTTGTGGGGGACATAGCTTGGAAACTAGCTGCAAGCATTCATTAATATAATCAGAACATGGAATGTAGAGGTCGGAATCTAGGAAAATGGGAGGTCGGTGACCTCCTAGGATTCGTGAGCAGATGTAGACTAGCTACCTGGCTAACCAACTGGAAGAGATCCACATTTGTGCCCGTTCCAAAGAGAAGTTACACAACGGAATGCAGAAACTATTAACATGGCGTTATTATCACATGCAAGTTAAATTTTGTTGAAGATCAGCAGTACATCAACATGGAGCAATCAACATTGATTCAGAGGCTGACGGGGGGGGGCAGGAGGATATCATTTCTGACATCAGATGGATCTTGGCTGAAAGCTAGGGCTACCCAAAAGGTGTGTTTTATTCACTATGCAGAGCCATCTGACTGTGTGGATCATAAACTAGGATAACGTTGTGATGGACAGGAATTCCAGAACAAATGCTGAATCTGTACACAGACAAAGAGGCTATCGTTCATTCAGAACAAGGAACTACTGCATGGCTTAAGCCCAGGAAAGGTGTGTGTCAGGGTTGTATTCTTCCAGCATACTAGTTCCATCTGTATACTGAGCAAATCATCCGAAAAGCTAGCCCATATGAAGATGTCATCATACTGGAGAAAGGCTTTTTAACAACCGTCTCTATGTAGATGCCACAACGTTGATTACTGAAAGCTAAGAGGATATGAAGCACATGCTGCTGATGGTAAAGGATTGCCAGTCCATATAAAGAAATCCAGAATCCTTACAACTAAACCAATAAACAGCATCATGATAGAGAAAATATCAACAGTCAACCCTCGTGGAAGAGCAGGCAATAAATCAAACAACACGCTGCATTGGGAAGATCCGCTGCCTAAGCCCTCTCTAAAGAAGTGTCCCTTTAAAAAATACCATGGCTTGGGTCAGGCACACCTTAGTCCTCAGACACCTCATAGGCTCATGAAAGGTGGACAATAAAGACTGCAAGATTTTCAATTATGATGTTGGTGAAAAATATTGAAAATACGATGGGCTTCCATAAGAACAACAGAAATCTGTCCTTTAGGAAGGAGAGACAGACAATGGAGGACGGTGAAACACCTCGCATTCTTTGGACACCATCACGAGAGAGCAGTCTTTGCTGAAGTAGACTGGCCCCGGGCCAGGCGGCGTTTCATTCATAGGGTTGCTCTGGATTGGAACAGACCCTACAGCACCTAAGTGCTAAGTGTGATGGAGAAAGCTAGGCCTGGCTGCACAAGAGGCCCCGTGCCCTTCATCATGGTCATTTTCAGAAGCTGGTTAGTAACATTTCACGGACACTAGGTTAGTACACACCACCATGTAGATGAAATTTCTAGTTAGTCACAGAGATATGTAGAATGTTCAAAGTTCTCTCAAGAACGTTCATAGCAAAGCCCACATGGAACAACATATCAACCTGTGTGATCACG